AAGAAATAGTACTTCCCAAAGTTTTCATATTACACTGCAATAGGTTTTCTCCAATTGTAAAAGCAAAGTATTAGTAATTGCATTTTTATACTAAATAAGTAGAATCTGGAGGGAGGGGGAGTCCATCTTTCTCTATCCAACCTAATTATCCTTTCTATTATCCTAAAATATACTCAGCATATTCTTATTGTTTTAGTCTGCTTCCTGTCTTTTTATAATATTCCAGATCTGCTCTTTCAACAACTTTTGAAATTATCTGAAAAATCTACATGCTTCAGTACACTTTAAATGTCTACAATTTAAAAACATAGCTTCAACTAATACTTCTTTTATCTGTATAGTTTAAAAGTGCTTTTGTGTATGTATATATTTCAACGAAAGAAAATGTACTAATTGACTATTTCATTTCAGATTTGACAATTATAAATTAGTATGTATTTTGCATGATTACTGATGGCCTAAAATAAGCCAAGAAAATGTTCATATTTCACTAAAAGTTTTAAGTCCCTGAATGAGGGATAAAACTGTTCAGGGTCATTAACCCTAAAAACATTGTACGTACTATACAATTTCCAAGTTTATAAATAGGTGAATCTTCAACAATTTCCAAGATAGCAAAGTTTCCCAATGGAGGCATTTCGCTTTATAAAATGGTAACTTAGTTACCTGCACACAATTACACAATATAAACCAAGAGGGAGAGAACTGGAGACTATGTATTCTAAGCACTAACACATTTGCATGGTATGCCCCTCTTGGCATTCTCCTGTCTAACTGCATTCCCACGAAAAAGACTTCAGCTCTCTCATCTAACTAAACCCCACTGATTGGTATTCTGACTGGACAATGCTAGACAGTTAAGTCCTACAGCCAAAGTCATTGGAGAAAAGCACAATCCTAAAGGAAATGCCTTTAGTCTGCTGGTGCCAGAACATTCGGCTGAGGCTCCTCTGCAAATGGCTGGGTGTGGGCCCTGGTTAGCTGACTTTATAGACCTACAGCTTCCACAGAGCGCAATGCTAACTAGTTTTTAAACTCATATTCATTTTCATGAAGAGAAAAGGCAAAAGGTACCTCTCCTGAATGGCTTTCACCTCTCGCTATCTTTCTCCATTGTCCCTGGCATCACTGTGCCGGATTAGGCCTTCCGGCAAACCTTCTGTACGTCTGGCAACACCCCCACGAACATACATATACCGTATTCATACAGACACATACAATCATACCCACACCCCCAGGCCACACTCAAGATGATTCAATAATCTTTCACATTAAAGGAAATCACATCACTGCCCACTCAAGGCTCTTCAATAGCTCCCCAGGATAAAAGCACTCCGGATAAAAGTCCAAAGTCCTAGGCATTATCTATAGGGCCCTACATCACCAATTGTTCTCACCATCTAAGCTTCATCTCTAGGCCATCCACCTTCACAACCTGCCAATCGGCTCCAATGAACTTTGATTTCCTCAAATGTGTAATGCTCTCTCTCACATCCAGGCTTTTATCCACATCTGAAAGAAACTCTTCTCCCTACCTATTTCCATCCTCTCCTGCAGGTCTGGGCTGGTGTCACCTCCTCCAGGCTGTCGTGCTCTACCTCCACATCAGCTAGGGTAGATGTTCCTTCCCTCATATCCTGTTACCTATCCTAATACACTTTATAGTAACTGTCGCTTTACTTCTCCATGCCCCCTGCTCCCAGAGGATGGAGTATGGGCCCCCTTGTCCATCACTATATCAGAGGCACTCAAATATTTGCTGAATACATTCTAAGTTTACTTAATTATATATTGGGGTTGTCAAAAAAGTCATGACGCATTTTTGCAACGAAAAACATAGAAAAAATACATCATGACTTTTCCGATGACCCAATAATATGAATGTCACCCATGCAATAAAGAAACATGTTCAAAATCAGTTATGATATAATGGAAATTAGGCAGCTTTTCATTATACTTTGGTATAAAATGCAAACTACACGTGCCTACAAATACCTTTAGGAAAGGTAAAAACATTACACATTAAAAAACACTTTACCATAAAAATATTAGTTTTGTGGTCACTACTCCTGTTAGGCAAATTGCAGCTCATAAAAAGTGCCAGGCTAAAAGTATTAAAAAAGAAGCCCTGGTTGCCTGTAGGTCAAATATGGCATCAGTGTAACTATCCCTCGCTGCTTGCTACCAAAAATTCTTGGCATTACTCAGAACTTGCTGGCTAAAGGTAAAAACAATTCCTTAAGTTTAGTCTTGATATAAATCTTTCAATAAGGGTTCCTCTCATGGTAATGGTCTCAAGGACATAAACATGTTGCCAGGAAACAGACCTCTGATACATCCTAGCCATTAGTTGCCACTGGCAGCTACTTTCTTTGAGCCACATTTTTTATGAGTTACAATCTGAGGCTTGTGACACCAGATTTTTCCAGGGCTGCAGACTGATGTCATAAACATAATGGTACTAAGCACTCTAAGGAGCTCACCAGCTCCACCCTAAACTCCCTGCATGCAACAGGCAAGTTATCAACCCTCTCTAAGCCTCAGTTTCCCCACCTATAAAGAGATAATAGTTCCTGCTTCTTAGCAGGAATTAGATTGTCCAAGATAGCACTTGGCAGATAACCCAATTATTATTTTCAAATCAAAAAGAAGGGAAGACGATAAAACCTAAAATATTTTCACATTTTCAGAACTTCTGGTAATGCCATACCTTATTTTTTTTACTAATGTCCCTCCATCCGGAAATTTTTGATAAAGGCAGAAAGGTGAAAAAAATGATATTCTATTTCTTCGTTATAACCCTTGGATTTCACAAATTCCACAAAATAATCTACACTAAAATCCACCTTCTAATCTTTCTCGGCACTCCAAAAATCACAGCCTAAATTTCTACCTTAACCATTCCTAAGTTCTATTTGAAAGATTGCGAAGATAAAATACTTCAATACATCTTCCCTAGATGTTCTCAGCAGAAATGATCATTTCCTTACTGCCTCTATGCACCTCCAAATATACTGAGCATTTGGAAAACAAAAAGATAAAAAGAAAAAAGGTCTCAATCACAAAAGTTGGCCTTCAAAGTCTCTGGTTTCCTTAGAATAGAACTAGTCATAAGGTATGTTGGAGGCACCTGTTAGGTAAGAGAGGAGGCAATCTAAGAAACTTAAAGTGTTCCAAGGAGAATTTAAACTAACTATATGTGAGAAAGTTGACTTCTCACCTCATATTTTTCCATTCTAACACAGGATGGCCAAGTAATAAAAATAGGCTGGCCAATGTGAATATTTTTATCATTTTAAAAAAATGGGGAAAGAAGGAAATTTGAGCCAATTAAGCAAATTGGCTCTCACGTTCCCAAGCCAGGCTAACTTGAATGTTGTTTGGGGGGGGGGGGGTTGTTGTTTTCTTGACAAGGAAATTTTACAGATCTTCTGAAATGTGTTTTAAATACAGGTGAGACCTCAACAGTCTTATAACTTTACCGGACCCCCGACCCCAACCAGGATTCTGGGCTCGACTTTTAAAAATGGGTGACGTGTGAACAGCTTCCTAAAAGCAAATGGGGCACTGGGATATAATTTAGGAAGTGATGATGCAGGCGAGTCCCAGAGGGTGGCAGCGCACCCAGGGCACGGCCTTCTCGGCCCACCCCCACTCCCCACCCGGCGCCCCTCCCTGGGACTCGGCCCCTGCCCCCTCCTCGTAGGCCCCGCTTGGGCCCAGCCCCCAGGGTTCGGGCCTTCCAGGGCCCCGAGGCCTGCGCAGAAAGCTCGGGCGCCCAAGACCCCGACCCCCGCCCCCACCCGGTCGGGCACTTACCCCCAGAAGCCGCAGGGACAGCGAGGCGGCAGACTGGGCGCTTTGCTGCGCTCGCTCCCGGCGTCTCCCATGGTGCTCGGCGACGGCGGCGGCGGAGCTCGGCGGCGGCAGCGGTGGCGGCGGCTGGGCCTGGGCCCCGCTGGAAGGAGGCGGCGGCGGCGACTGAAGGGGGCTCGGGGCGGGGAGCGAGGGCCCGCGCTCCCACGCCCCCAAGCGGTGCTGCGGAGACGGGGGGGGGCCGGGGGAGGCGCGGAGAGGAGAGGGAGGGGAGCTGAGGAGGAGGGGCGTGCGGGTGAACAGAGGACCGCGGGGAAGGAGGGAAGACCCGGCGCCCTCGGCAGCTCCCACCGCCGCTCCCAGCCAGAGTGATGTCCCGTGCGGCGGCGCTGGTAAGGACCTGAGGCCCCCGCCTGCTCTGGCGAAGCAGCAGCTGCAGTGAAGCCCCAGGGCCCGTTCGCTCTCCCCTCCCCCGGAGGCTGCGCTGACCGGACAATGGCCGCTCCGCCCCCTCCCCTGCTTACGCACCCCTCCCAAGGAGTCACAATGGTCTCGCCCGGGGGAGCCGCCGCCAAAGCCCAGCAGCTGATCAGCTGGGATCCGGGCGTGCCACTTTGTTCAGCGCCTCAAAGGAAGAGTATGGGGCTGTGAGGAAACCGAGAGCTGCAGGCTATCACTCGGCGACCGGCCTCTGAGGCTTTTGTATTCTTGGAACTTTTAAAATCTGAAGCAAACTCACCTTTCCCCACACATCTGAAGAAGGGAGAGACTTGAGTACTCGGGGGCGCGTTGCCTCCCCCCAAACGTTAATGGTACGCCCCAAGTGGGAGGGGGAGGAGCAGACTAGTTGTTTAGGGTAAGTTGGGCCAGTCCCAGAGCGGCGGCCGAGCGTAGCGCATGCGCCGGGAGACACCGTAACAGGGTACGGGGAGGGTCCGGGAGGGAGTGCTTCCAAACCCGGAAGTGTGTCTTGGTCTTCCCGGGACTGTCGGGGTCTTCAGCGACCAGAGAGGTCTCTGAACCGGCTGTTCTTGGTCCGGGGCGATACCGGGGCACATGTCTCCACAAACTGCCAACCCCCTGGAAATCTCTTCCCAGTCTCCCCATCCCCGACCCACTTCCACTTCCACCCGAGGCACTGGTCTCCTCTTGGCAGTAATGAACTTCTGGGAAACGTCCCTCCCCTCCCCCGCCCCACCAAGGGCGGGGGTCCGGGAGGTAGTGTCCGGGACGGGTTCCCCAGCCTCAGAGACCCAAGTCCACTCACTACCTGTATCTAAGCTAGGAGAACCTGTCTTCCTCCTAGAGTGGACATGTTTGGTTTTTAAAGCTCCGAATCAATAATGGAAATTGATAGGTGACCAAAGAAGTTTGAAGCACTAAAAAGTGAGTCATTTAGCGCTCCTTGTCTTGGATTCTGAACTCATTCTGAGCTCCAACCAAACGTGAGCAGAAGGAGATTGTTGGTGAGTTTCATTTCAACACGGAGGGAGCTGCCACCAGACCTGGAGAGCTGACCCACAGCTGATGCCCTTATGGGCGAACTTCTAAGTCTTTGGTACTTCCAGGAAGGCTTCTTGGCTCCTCGAAATTGCTGCTGTGTACCCCCGACTCGGTGGGGACACCAGAGCCTCAAAGGGTATTGCCTAGATTAATTTTATTACGAAATGTTATTTTATTTCTGTATATACCATTTTGTGTGTGCATGCTCTGTGAAATTGATAACGTTGATGTCGCTTCTTTTGGCCTCTAAAGAGCAAGGATCACATGTAGCTTAGCATTGTCCTAAAGATGCTGTTGATAATGAAGACAATGAATGCAAAATTCAGGCGGTTTAAAGCCAACTCACCCCCAAATGCAAGTGCTGATTTATTTTGTGTAATATTTAGTTTCAACTTTGTAGATTTAAATTTTCAGTTAAACTGACATAAAATTACCATATTGGTGGAAGACTTACAGCCTATGAGTTTAACAGACTGGGATTAAGTGGACTCTATTGACATCGTCATGATTTTCTTTTCTATATGGAAAAGGAAACCCTAAAACCGAAAGGAAATTTTAACATAAAACATGATTGTCATCTTAGAAACTGCTTGCCTACCTGTTTACCATTTATTCAATTTAACAAGCATTTGTGGAGTTCCCAGTATTTCCTAAGGCCTTGTCCCTCCTAGTCCCCTCTGCCCCAACTGCCCTTCCTCTCTCTTGCCCAGCACACTCCTACTTCAAACACGTTACCCCTTCAATGCCTTCCATACTCTGACCAAGCACAATTGGTCCCTCCTTCCTCTGCACACATAATCTACATTATAGGACCAGGAAATTTATGTTTTTCTCTTCTCACAAAACCCAGCTCCAAAAGGACTGGCTCTTAGAAATAGCTGCTATGTAGCCCCAACCCAGTGGGGATACAAGAGCCTCAGATGGTATAATAGACTAATTTTAGACAAAAAATAGACTAATTTTATTACCAAATGTTATTATTTTATTTGTATATATGCCATTCTGTTTGTGCATTCTCGGTGGACTTGTAGGGTTCACAAATCTCTGTGAGATTGAAGCGGACTCAATCCATGTTGAGGAGCGAATCTGATAAAAGCCTTTCTTAGTAAAGGCTTTTTGGTCTGCAAGTAATAAAAACTCACGAAACTTCTTTATGCAAAAAAGAAAAAAGAAAAAAATTATTGAAGGAAATAATCTTAAGAGAACAACAAGATCTCATGAAGGACTGGAACAAATATCAAAATATCAAAAGGAAGCCAAATAACTATTCCTTCATTATCTCTTTCTCTATGGTCAAATGTTCTTCCGTCTCTATTTCTCTCTACAGAGCTGCTTCATTCTTTTCTACAGACCTGCTTTCACTGCTTCTCTGGGAAGAGAATAGAACATGATGGTCCAAGCTTACCTAGCCTCACTTCAAGAACCAGCAGAGATTAATTTGTATCTATGAATCTCAGGTCCCAGGAGAAAGAACCTTATAGGTCTAGCTTATGTCAGGTTGTCCATTCTTGGTACGGTTGCCTTTAGCCAGTGGAGCAGTACATTGTCAAGGCTCTTTGATTTGTAATGCAAACATGGCTGCCAGAGACCCATCCTTGTAGCCTGCAGTTCTCAAAGAAGGTCAGTTATGTTCTTGGCAAAGATTCCAAAAGGTGTGTACCACCAAAAAAATGAATAAATTACAGCCTGAAATTCAAAAGCATAAAGAACAATGGACACATTCATGAATTTTCCAACAAACTAACTCCTACTTAAACTATTTCAGGCCTAAATTTAAATGGCACTCCCTCAGAGAATCCTTCACTGACCCTCCCAATCCCAATTAAAGTTATTGCCCCATGTTTACCTTCCATAGCACCATTTTCCTTTGTAATGCCTATCACAATTTATAATTAAATATTTATTTGTGTATCTCCTCTCCAAAGATCATGTCTGTTTAGTTCACAGCTATGTACACAATGCCTGGGGCACATCTGGTAAAGCATTCAATAAATATTTGTTGAATAAACAAAAAGACACAATAATTTATTAATCAGTGTGAGGCCCATATATGAATTGGCATCCTAATCAGACTATCCTGGAGGAATGTCTCCATCACTACCCACTCCCCTGAACGACTGAAACTCACTGTGAGCTTTTTCATCACACTGTAGTTGTACGAAATGAGACCCAGTGTTCATCTACTTCCTCTTATACGATGTGTGTAGCCGGCTAACTCTTCACTCTTAGTTCCCAAGGTTTCTGAGGAGCCCTTGAACAATTCCTATAACATGTCCACTTAGTTGGCCGAAAAGCTCAAAGAGGACATAAAATGTCAGTGCATCATCAAATTAAGGGATCAAAGTGTGAGATAATTGGCAGAAGTGCTTTTGTCATAATTGTCTGGACTTTTTTTCTAACGTGGATTACATTCCAGATTAACCTGTGATATGACTCTTGGGGGTTGTTTGCAATCACCATCGATCCAAAAGGAGCTCAGTAGGGTCTAGTGAAAGATAATATTAATGCTTCAGCAGCGAGAGCTCCTGAAGTAGCAACTGAAGTTGTACGGGAAACAGCCAGGTGTGACTCAAGGTCAGGGGCTGGCAAGGGCTGCATTCTTAGTAATACTGAGTCCAAAGACCTTAGCCCTGGAAGATATAACCAAGAAAGGAGGAGCTTGTAGAGAGACCCGAGAGAGCAGATGGTTCTCCAACTCTGATTCTAGCCCTTACCCCACAACTCTCTCTAATACCTAGTTCAAATCCTTTCTTCATAGTTCATTGTAACATGATATTAGCCCCCATGTCCAATCCAAACTCTAGCCTCAATCTTAATCCTAATCCTCATATTCTCTGTAAAATTTAATCCTAAATTTCGAACAACCTAATCCCAACCCTAATTTTATGAGCTCCTTGCCTTGCTACTGAGTTATTTTCTCCAGCCCTTCTTTCTTATGTCCCTTGATCCTGACCCCTGGGAACAGAGAACTCTGTAACACCCTGGACCCCTGGGGACAATGGGAGCCAGTTGCAATAATCCAAAAAAAGAAAAGAGCCTTGGGCTGCCAAGAAAGAGAAAGTGGGCATCTCTCACCTGTGCAGAGGAACACAGAGACCCTGCTCAGTCACAACTTGTCCTGTTATACCTAATTCAGGTGCTGCTCAGCCTTTGACAGTCCAGAAAAGATGCAATCCAAGTCACCTGTGTACACTCAGGAAAGTGTGCTATACAGTAGGCCAAGGGCAGAAGACCTGAGACCCTTCTGCTGCAAAAGTATCATGTTAAATTAGATGAGTGGCTTTCATCTAATTTAACATGAAATCAGAGCACGAATTCTGGTTTCTGGGCAGCCAGATGGCTCAGTTGGTTAGAGCATGTGCTCTTAGTAATAAGGTTGCTGGTTCAACTCCCACATGGGATGGCGGGCTACGCTCCATGCAAGTAGACAGCAACTGGACTTAGAGCTGAGCTGCAACCTCCACAACTAAGATTGAAGGACAATGACTTGGAGTTGATGGGTCCTGGAAAAAACACATTGTTCCCTGAAAAAAAAACATTGTTGGGCCGGCCGAGTGGCGCGTTGGTTAAGAGCTGGCTTGGGACGCCAGAAGGCCCCGGTTCGGATCCTACATATGAGGGCCAGTGACACTGCCCTCTACAGCTAAAATGCTGAAC